TTTCTGCCTCCACTTTACAGTACAAACATCCCATTCTCGAGTCAAGACACAAGGTAACATCCTGACTGAAGATAGTCTTTATTTTAACTGTATCAAAGAGGAAATGAGTTCATGCGTATAACAAGAGCAAATGCCTGCCGATGAGAATCCAGTTCACTTTAAATCTAGTGTCACACTGCCAGATGGAAACATATTACAGTATAGGAAGTACTGTAGTGCTCTTGAATCATATTATAGTAAAGCATCTGATTTGAGCTGTTGTGGTGATTCTACAGTTACCATGGTAACACAACTATAGTAATTGATCTGTTGTGGTGATTCTACAGTTGCTATGGTAACACAACTATAGCAATTGATCAGTTGTTGTGGTGATTCTACAGTTGCTATGGTGACAACAACAACTATAGTAATTGATCTGTTGTGGTGATTCTACAGTTGCTATGGTAACACAACAACTATAGCAATTAAACTTGTTGTAGTGATTCTACAGTTGCTATGGTGACAACAACAACTACAGTAATTGATCTGTTGTGGTGATTCTACAGTTGCTATGGTGACAACAACAACTATAGTAATTGATCTGTTGTGGTGATTCTACAGTTGCTATGGTAACACAACTATAGCAATTAAACTGTTGTTGTAGTGATTCTACAGTTGCTATGGGGACAACAACTATAGTAATTGATCTGTTGTGATTTTACAGTTGCTATGGTAACAGCAACTAAACTAATTGATCTGTTGTGGTGATTCTACAGTTGCTATGGTAACACAACAACTATAGTAATTAATCTGTTGTGGGGATTCTACAGTTGCTATGGTAACAGCAACTAAACTAATTGAGCTGTTGTGGTGATTCTACAGTTGCTATGGTAACACAACTATAGCAATTGATCTGTTGTGGTGATTCTACAGTTGCTATGGTAACACAACTATAGCAATTGATCTGTTGTGGTGATTCTACAGTTACTATGGTAACACAACTATAGTAATTGAGCTGTTGTGGTGATTCTACAGTTGCTATGGTAACACAACTATAGCAATTGATCTGTTGTGGTGATTCTACAGTTACTATGGTAACACAACTATAGTAATTGAGCTGTTGTGGTGATTCTACAGTTACTATGGTAACACAACTATAGTAATTGAGCTGTTGTGGTGATTCTACAGTTACTATGGTAACACAACTATAGCAATTGATCTGTTGTGGTGATTCTACAGTTACTATGGTAACACAACTATAGTAATTGATCTGTTGTGGTGATTCTACAGTTACTATAGTAACACAACTATAGTAATTGATCAGTTGTGGTGATTCTACAGTTACTATGGTAACACAACTATAGTAATTGATCAGTTGTGGTGATTCTACAGTTACTATGGTAACACAACTATAGCAATTGATCTGTTGTGGTGATTCTACAGTTACTATGGTAACACAACTATAGCAATTGATCTGTTGTGGTGATTCTACAGTTGCTATGGTAACACAACTATAGTAATTGATCTGTTGTGGTGATTCTACAGTTGCTATGGTAATAATAACTGCTAAAGTAATTGATCTGTTGTGGTATGGAATAAAATTGCTGTCATAAATATTTTGTGTAATCACAATAACAATACATTCATCAGTCGTATACAAACAGACAAAGAAAATGTGCCATCTGTGTCTGTTCTAATCGCAGATTCTGGAATTGTACCTTCGTAAAGTTACGAGTACACTCCGTTTATTTTTATTTTTTATATTTACAGATGCGTCAATTTTATTTACACACAAAATATTTATGACAGCAAGTTTACTCCATATTGTGGTGATTCTGCAGTTGCTATGGTAATGCAACAATTATAGTACTATAAATGATCCAGGGTATATATTATACTACAACACACCACTGTTTACTGTAGTCATAACTACTAGAGTATTCTTCACAATGCATCAGTATAGTTAATACTGCAGTATGCTAGAATCCTCATCCACAAAGAATATTACAGGAAACGGACATTTAAAACATACGTCAGGATCTTTATATGATAATGGCCTATAAAAAATTAACAATGTAGACCCGTGCCATGCACTTTTGGATATTTCCACAATTAAATCCCTGCAACATCAGAACACTGAGCATCTCCAGTAAACACATCCTGAGGAGAGAATGTAGAAAACACAGAGGAAGAAGATCTTTGATGTTTTAATCTGACTGAGGGACGAGCAGGAGACGTGAAGCGCTGACAGACACCGAGTGTGAACCTGACGCATTGATCATCTCCGAGACTCCAGGCACATCACTGCATTATGATATCTGCTGATCTGACTGCTGATCTCCACACTGTCATGAGGAGGAAGTCTCTGTGAGAGAATCGCTGCAGGACAATCATACACACAACCCCAGATCTATTACAGAGATATTCACAACCTGGAGGCCTGAGGACACACACACACACACACACACACACACACACACACACACACACACACTACCGAAAAACAGAAGAAACTCACATGCCAGCGGAGAACTTCAGCGGAGAGAACAGCCATGAACACAGCAGCAGAGCAAACACAGACTGACACACACACACACACACACACTCACCTCTGAAGACTGAGAGAAATCCACACCCCCTTCACACTGACAGAGTACACACACACACACACACTCATACACGCCCGCATGCACAAAAAACACACAAGCATAAACACACACTCACTGACAAAGCACACACAGAGAGCACACACACACTCTGAGAGAGCACACATATACACACACACAAACTGACAGAGTGCACACACAAGTAGGCGCACAAGCACACACACCATGCATGTATGTACACAAACACACACACACACACACACTCCAAGAAGAGCACACACAAAAACACACATGCACAAGCAAGTGCACGCACACACTCACAACAAACACACACCTTCAAAACCGAGCGCCTCAAACTAACCATAACTAGCCCGAGTCTAGCGATGCTAAAAGCAAATTCCACAGGCTGTCACCAATCTCTCAGTCACTCTGTAGTGAACTCGACACAACCCCACTAACATAAATCACAGAGCGTCACTGTGCGCACACACTATAACTGTGTTTTCTGTCATGTTTTATTTTGGGCAGGTCCCCACATGTCATGTGTTTAACATTATACACACACACGTTTAAACAATTAATTACAGCGTTTGCCAAAAGCAGTGTTGAGTGTGTCTGTATGGGTGTTTCCCCAGTACTGGGTTGCAGATGGAAGGGCATCCGTTGTGTAAAACATATGCTGGAATAGTTGGCGGTTCATTCCGCTGTGGCGACCCCTGATTAATAAAGGGACTGAGCTGAAGGAAAATGAATGAATTTATAGAAAGGGTTTAGATAATTAATTATTTTATTATAAAATTATAAACATGTACATCTAAATATTTATATAGTATATAAGTACATAAATTATATATACTTAACTTTTAAAGTATTTATTGTTTTTACATAACATTGTATATAAAATAAAACTACATGTAAATGTATGCACATATATTGTGTCTTTTATTTTGTAAGCAATTAGTCATGATTATTGCTTAATTGATTGAGTTTTTCCTTAAAAAAAGCAAAATAATCTGACATTGGAGAAAGCAAAATAATCTTATGTCAAAAGGCGAAGCACAAATATAAATCTTCCCCCAATGTCAGATTATTTAGCTTTTTTGAAGGAAAAACTCTCTTCATTTGAAGTCATTATTTCTGAAAACAACACTATATTTTGCTCGTCTAGAAATCGTTTCTTGATTTAAGAGTATTTAGATATTTGAACTAGAAACAAGACAACAAATATATTTAACTAAAGGTAGAAAAGAATCCGCATGCAAACAGACTAATAAAGCTGGACTGATTGATTGACTGTATCCACACACCACGGGGCAAACTCAACATGCACATCACGCTGTTACCTGTGTTTGACTGACGTGCATTATTAAATCTGTCTATGTCAGAAATCTGGCCCTCTGATGATCAGTCAATATTTCACCTGCGCAGACTAACAGCGGCTCCTCTGTGTTTGTCTCCACCTGTGCTGTAATTAATGTGCAGACGGACTCATAAAGCTGGCTTTGTGTGATCTCTGAAAGTGAAAACATGTCCACCCTCACCAACACACAGATCAGTTTTCAGCATCGCTATCAAGACAAAGAGCGTCTGTGTTTTCTGAACACACTCCAGTGGAGAAACTGTCTGCCGTCTCGTCCATCTACAGCCTCTCAGAGAAACTCAGGAAACAATACAATCTGGATTTACATTACAGGTTCCCGCACAAAACTTTACATCCCTGCACAAAACTTTACATTCCTGCACAAAACTTTACATTCCTGCACAAAACTTTACATTCCTGCACAAAACTTTACATTCCCGCACAAAACTTTACAATCCCGCAAAACTTTACATTCCTGCACAAAACTTTACATTCCCGCAAAACTTTACATTCCCACACAAAACTTTACATTCCTGCACAAAACTTTACATTCCCGCACAAAACTTTACATTCCTGCACTTTACATATTTTACAACTTTACATTACTAGGCAAAACTTTGCATTCCTGCACAAAACTTTACATTACTAGGCAAAACTTTACATTCCCGCACAAAACTTTACATTCCTGCACTTTACATATTTTACAACTTTACATTATTAGGCAAAACTTTACATTCCCGCACAAAACTTTACATTCCTGCACAAAACTTTACATTACTAGGCAAAACTTTACATTCCCGCACAAAACTTTGCATTCCTGCACAAAACTTTACATTACTAGGCAAAACTTTACATTCCCGCACAAAACTTTGCATTCCTGCACAAAACTTTACATTACTAGGCAAAACTTTACATTCCCGCACAAAACTTTGCATTCCTGCACAAAACTTTACATTACTAGGCAAAACTTTACATTCCCGCACAAAACTTTACATTCCTGGACAAAACTTTATATTACTAGGCAAAACTTGACATTACCACACAAAACTTTACATTCCTAGGCAAAACTTTACATTCCCTCAAAACTTTACAAATCTTTAAAACTTTACAAAACTTTACAAATCCTCAAAACTTTACATTACTAGGGAAAACTTTACATTTCCGCACAAAACTTCACATTCCAGCCCAAAACTTTACATTCCTGCCAAAACTTTACAATACTAGGCAAAACTTTAAACTCTGTGGGTTTTGTGTTTCACTTACATACTGTAAATCAAGGTGACTATATAGTGAACTCAACAAACATACATCAAGGTGACTATGGAGTGAACTCAACAAACATACATCAAGGTGACTATGGAGTGAACTTGACAAAATCCTACCAACATTCATCAAGGTGACTATGTAGTGAACTCAACAAAACATATATCAAATCGACTATGTAGTGAACTTGACAAAACCCCACTAACATACATCAAGGTGATTATGTAGTGAACTCAACAGAACATACGTCAAGCAGACTACTGTATGTAGTGAATGCAGCAAAACATACATCAAGTCAACTATGCAGTGAACTCAGCTAATAAACAAGTAAATGATGGGGGAGTGTTCCGTTTTGTGTGACCGGTTCCTTTAAGAATCTGATGTTTGCTCACAGAACTGACGAGAATATAAAATGCAGAATCTGCTGGGTTATTCAGCGCTTCACTCTCCCACAATAAGACGCATTTCTCACAGCATGTTTGCATTCCCGGGAAACTCTGTGTTCCCTCACCTGAAAGCTCCGCTCAGAATCCTGGGTTTGACATGGATCCTGACAGAGGTTAAACTAACATCACTTCTCAACAGCTTTAACACGTCTCCGACATGATCCAGAGCTCAATATATCATTCACTCCAGTGCCCTACACAGTGCACATTAACCAGATCCTGCCTACAGACATGCGCTGATATTCATTAACTCAATATATCCTGATAATAACCATGAGAACAAGACAATATTTAGTTCCTGTCTAAAAAATGCTTATTAATTTAAGAATTGTGAGATGTTTGTGCTAGAAACAGGAGATAATCTCTAAGTAAAGTGTGTTTTGCAGTGTGTTCAGTGGCACTCTCAGACACCTACACAAGCGTCTCACCTGCAGCTCTTTGCTTTTCTTCTGCAGGCCGACATTCAGCAGCTCCTCGGCCTCCAGACGGCTGCTGGTGTTGTTTAATTCTACATCTTTCCTGACAGGAGACAGACGGAAAAACTGACATCATTTAGAGCCCTCACTATAGTCAGTTCATTAGTCTTTATTTCTGCAGCGCTTCTTATAATGTAGATCGTGTCAAAGCAGATTAACACAGTTGAAGTTGAGTGTAATAATGTACATGTCACTGCTGAAACACTGAAGAGCAGCTCACCTGTAAACATCACCTGTGTCTCCGCTTATTAAAGGTGCCAGTCAATCAGCCAGCGGAAAGATTTATTGCATTCGTTAAACTGTATGTTGCTGTTATTTTTACTAAAGGAGGTCAAAATGAGGGCGACACTGTTGCTCAGTGGTTATCACTGAGGCCTCACAGCAAGAAGGTCTCTGGTTTGAGTCTCGGCTGGGTCAGTTGGTGTTTCTGTGTGGAGTTTGCATGTTCTCCCCGTGTTGGCGTGGGTTTTGCTCCGGTTTCCAGTCCAAACACATGCGCTATAGGGGAACTGATTAAGTTGGCGGTTCATTCCGCTGTGGGGGCCCCTGATTAATAAAGGGACTAAGCCGAAAAGTGAAAGAATGAATGATAATGGTCAGTTTTGGCTGAACTGTCACTTTAAATGTACATAAACATGTTTCAGGGGGAATTAAATAAAAGGATATTAAATCTACACCAGCTAGGCTATGAAAATTAACTATAAAAATAAAAGTAATCAAGTGCATATTGGGCTTATTCAGTGTTTTGCAGATTAACAGGCCTGAACATGAAGCTCTGAGCACATTCAGTTTCATCTTATAGAGGAAAACACGTCTGCTTTACTGATAAATCTTCATCAGTTTCCTCGGCAGGATTTATCAGCCATTTCACTGTAGACATGCGGTCGTACTTAAAGCTTTTGTCTTGTTTCTTGTTTCTTGTTTCCAAATGTCTAAAAACTCTTCATTTAAGAAGCATGTTTGAGAAAAGCTACAGATATTGTCTTGATCTCAGAAATAAAATGTCTTTTTCCTTTAAAAAATAGCAAAATAATGTTATATCAAAGCAAAAACTGCATTATTCTGCTTACTTTGAGGAGAATCTCTCTTCATTTTGACTCTTTATTTCTGAAAACAACACTATATTTTTCTCTGGTCCAGAAAATGCTACCTGATTTAGCAATTTTTAGATGTTTGGACTAGAAGCAAGATAAAATCCATGACTGCATCATAATAAATACAATAATGACTGACTAATTAATATTTATGAATCATCTATGATATTATATTATGGACATGTGCATTGAAAAATGAAATGCATCACTACTAAATCTCAACAACACTGTTATAGATGTAGCTATAAGTGTCTTTATAATAGAGTTTTAGGCTTGTTTTGTCTTTATTATAGAAGTGTTATGACTGATTATACACGATTATAAACAGAGTTGTTATTCATTATAAGTGTGAGCTTCACAGAAAGTATTACTGATATTTTTTACTCCTAGAAGCATGATAAAAACTGTGAGAAGTGTATTTTGTGCAGTGTAAACCACCTTAATAAACAGAAATGTGGTGCTTTATTGAGATAAAAGCTTAGTTAATGCATTATTACAGCACTAAGGAGATGTGCACCTTAAAATAAAGTGTGAACAATCATTGTTTTGCAGTGTAAATCGTTTGATTTATTTCTAGCATTAATCTGCTTAAATGATTCATTAATTAATTTATTTATTTCATTCATTCATTTTCTTGTCGGCTTAGTCCCTTTATTAATCCGGGGTCGCCACAGCGGAGTGAACCACCAACTCCTCCAGCACATTTTTACGCAGCAGATGCCCTTCCAGCCGCAACTATTTTATTTGATTTAAAAATGCTTTTCTTCGAGTTTTTGTTTTGTTTTTAGTCCAAATGTATAAAATGAATATAATTAGTAATAATGTTTTTT